TCTAGTAGGACCAGTGTAGGGAAAAGGAGCAGGCAGTGGGGAGGCCGGCGGAAACTGTGACTGTGAGTGGACAGGCGGTGGACACTCTAAGGGAGGAGGAAGACCAAGAACCTGCTGAAGGAGCGGAACAAAGTACGGCCGAGGCCGCGCAGCGACTCCAGACACAGCAGGGACAGCACCAGCACCCCCAGTGGCAGCACCAGCGCCAACAGTACCTCCAGCTCCAGTACCTCCAGCAGCACCAGCAGCACCCGCAGCAGGACCGCCGCTAGGACTGACAGCAGTAGTCTCAGCGCCATCACCTTCAGCAGCTCCGACTCCAGTCGCACTCGCTGGCCCAGCAGCTCCAGCACTCCCAGGGCTAGCACCTCCAAGACCGGCGGCACAAGCACCCTCAGCAGCCGAAGAAGCACCAGCTCCACCAGTACGCCTCCAGTGCTGGGCAAACCACCCGCGCAGCTCCTGTGGAGAGAGTGGCTCCCGCCGAGACAAAGCACCCGGAGAACCACCAGGCCCAGCACCGCCAAACGCCACACGAGCAGGTCCAGCGGCCGCGGGCTCCGCACCCCCAGGCCCAGCAGCTCCAGACTCAGTACCCCCAAGCTCAGCAGCTCCGGACGCAGCACCTACAGGCTCAGCACCTCCAGACGCAGCACCCCCAGGCGAAGGACCCCCAGGCTCAGCACTCTTAGTCGTAGCACCCCCAGGCTCGGTACCCCCAGGCTCAGCACCCACTAGCGCAGCACCCCCAGAGTCAGCACTCCCAGGCTCAGCACCCGCAGCAGTACCAGAGTCACCAGCAACCTCGACCGGCTCGACTACGTCTACCTGGGACACACCTGAAGGGGCAGGACCCTGAGGGGGGAGGGGGTCTACCTGGGGGGGACCTGGCACAAAGAAGTGCGGTGGCGGGGGGAGGGAAGGAGTGCGGTAGGGGAAGAGACGGTAGTAGGGGACCGACTCGTCAAACGTGACGTCGTGGGAGGAAAGAACACGACGAGAGGAGGGGTGGTAGAACTGCCACCCTGGTGCGTCAGGGGGGAAGCAAAGGAAGGCACAAGGAGCAGCACGAGGGGATAGTTAGTCCGCAGACAAGTCGCGGACAAACGCCCGAGATCCCCAGACCCGGAACGCAGACGCATCGCCTACCTTCCCCGTCCACATCAGAGCTGGGGAGGTCTCCGGCATGGAGACCCTGGGGTGAAGGTTGATCTGATGCGCTGCGTACCTCACCGCAAACGGCCACAGAAAATGGGGGGCAACTGCATGCATCATGGACGTACGAGCGACGTCCATGACCGTGCCAATGCGGCGCTCAGCAATTCCATTTTGCTGTGGAGAGGCCGGAAGCGTGAAGGTCTGGCGGATGCCCTGTGCACGACAGAAGGCTCCCAGAAGGGCAAAAGAAAACTCCCCGCCTCTTTCAGAGTACAGACGCAGAACAAGAAAGTCCGAGCCGAAACTCTCTCTGAGCATGAGACGAGCAGCGCGGATCCAGCCGATCAACACCTCAGTGACCTCACCGTTGCTGCGCAAGAGGAAAACTGAGGTGTAACGCGAGTAGTCGTCAACCACCAGCACGAAGTAGCGCTCGTGACCCTGTCCACGGACGCGGGCCGGGCCCCACACGTCCATGTGAAGCGTCTGCAGCGGGGCCTCTGTCGGGGGAAACTGAGAGGAGTGAGGTGCAGCACGGAGCCGCCCCTCGACACAGGGAACACAGGAAGGACCAAGCCCTGGAGGAAGGGGAGGGAGGGACCGGGGGGGACCAGAGACAAGGACACGGGAAGCCATGCCTCGGAGACGAGGCAGGGAGGGGTGACCAAGACGGTGGTGCCACAGGAGAGTCTCGTGAGACAGGAGGCGACACGAGCAGGGGGCAGACTCAGGACCAGACCTGGACGCTGCAGCAAACACATGACCTGACGCAGCTACCTAGCTAGACGCAGGGACAGGACGAGACCCAGTGGTCAGGGTGTAGAGGCTCGACCCCAGCCGACGCGTAAACGTGGCCAGGTGCCGGCCTGTGCGAGCGTCCGAGCAGTGGGTCACGCGCTGACTCGCAGGAGTAAACTGGTGAATCCCCGTATCCTGCAGGTCAGCACCACTCACCAAGTTCGTAGAGAACGAGGGGAGGTAAAGACCAAACAAGGTGCCAGAGGGGGCAGCCGGACACGGGAGGACAGTGGAGAAGTGATAGAGGACAGGACCCCCAGAGGGGTCTGCCAGGGAGACTGCAACCGGCCGACCAAGCGGCGTGAGTGTGGTGCGGTCTCGAAAGAAGGAGCGAGAAGCCCCTGAGTCAAGTTTGAAGGTGAGGGAGGCCGAAGCCGACGTGGTACCTGAGAGCGCAGACTCACCAGCACCTGAGGGCGTAGACGCACTGGCACCTAGAGCAGCAGCCTAACCAGCACCTAGAGCAGCAGTACCAGTGCCCGGGTCGGGCGGGAAACACCGGTAACAGTCACCCTCATCACTAATAGCCACAGCATACATGGCAGCAAGGATAGCATCAAAGTCAAGATCATAGATAGCTACGCCTGCCCTAGAAAGCTCTCCCCAGCGGGGGATCTCACTGGCCTCCGGGAACTGCTGACGCCAAGCGTCCGTCAGGCGGCCAAAGCAGCGCTGGGTGGGGTGGGCACCCCCACACTGCTCACCCGCGCGGTCGCCGGAGCGAAGGACGTAGGTGCACGGACCAAAACCCCCACCACGCTGATGCTGCTAGGAGGGCCTTCTCTAAGAGGTCAACAGTGAGAGTGGTGGGACAGACTGAGAGGAAGTGGTCCCTGACTACACGAAGGGAGTCAGGGAGGCGGGTGACTATATAATAGAGAGTGATGTACATGGGGGGGGGGGGTTCTTGGCGCAGAACTCAGCAGGAAGCTGCTCTCACCAGATAGGGCGGTTCGGGCAGCTCAGTAGCACAGTAACATGGCAACACGGCTGCTTGGACGGCTCAGCAGCAACTGCGGCTCCGTGGCACCAGCGGCTCGGGCGGCTCGGGCGGCTCGGCTCCTCAGCGGCTCAGGCGGCTCGGGCGGCTCGGGCAGGTCGAGCGGCTCGGGCTGCTCGGGCGGCTCGGCTCCTCACCGGCTCAGGCGGCTCGGGTGGCTCGGGCGGCGCGGGCGGTGTAGGGCGGTAGGTCCGCTGGTAGGGCGGCGGGGCCGCAAGGTAGGTGGCGGGGCCACAGTGGGAGGGGCGGCGGGGCCGGAGTGAAGAGCGGCGGGGCCGCCGTGAAGGGCGGCGGGGCCGCTGAGAAGGGCGGCGGGGCCGCAGTGAGAGAGGCAGCGGGGCCGCAGAGAAGGGCGGCGGGGCCGCTGAGAAGGGCGTTGGGGCCGCAGCGAGAGAGGCGGCCAGGCCGCAGCGAAGGGCGGCGGGGCCGCTGAGACGGGCGGCGGGGCTGCGGCGAAGGGCGGCGGGGCCGCAGCGAAGGGCGGCGGGGCCGCAGCGAAGGGCGGCAGGGCCGCAGTGAAGGGCGACGGGGCCGCAGCGAAGGGCGGCGGGGCCGCTGAGACGGGCGGCAGGGCCGCGGCGAAGGGCGGCAGGGCTGCTGAGAAGGGCGGCGGGGCCGCAGCGAGAGAGGCGGCGGGGCCGCAGCAAAGGGCGGCGGGGCCGCTGAGACGGGCGGCGGGGCCGCAGTGAAGGGCTGCGGGGCCACAGCGAAGGGCGGCGGAGCCGCAACAAAGGGCGGCGGGGCCGCTGAGAAGGGCGGCGGGGCCGCAGCGAGAGAGGCGGCGAGGCCGTAGCAAAGGGCGGCGGGGCCGCAGAGAAGGGCGGCGGGGCCGCTGAGAAGGGCGTTGGGGCCGCAGCGAGAGAGGCGGCCAGGCCGCAGCGAAGGGCGGCGGGGCCGCTGAGACGGGCGGCGGGGCTGCGGCGAAGGGCGGCGGGGCCGCAGCGAAGGGCGGCGGGGCCGCAGCGAAGGGCGGCAGGGCCGCAGTGAAGGGCGACGGGGCCGCAGCGAAGGGCGGCGGGGCCGCTGAGACGGGCGGCAGGGCCGCGGCGAAGGGCGGCAGGGCTGCTGAGAAGGGCGGCGGGGCCGCAGCGAGAGAGGCGGCGGGGCCGCAGCAAAGGGCGGCGGGGCCGCTGAGACGGGCGGCGGGGCCGCAGTGAAGGGCTGCGGGGCCACAGCGAAGGGCGGCGGAGCCGCAACGAAGGGCGGCGGGGCCGCTGAGAAGGGCGGCGGGGCCGCAGCGAGAGAGGCGGCGAGGCCGTAGCAAAGGGCGGCGGGGCCGCTGAGACGGGCGGCGGGGCCGCAGTGAAGGGCTGCAGGGCCGCAGCGAAGGGCGGCGGGGCCGAATCGACGGGCTGCGGGGCCGCTAGGGCGTTGGGGCCGCTAGGGCGGCTCGACGAAGTGAGAGCCCGGAGCGCGACTCGGGCTGAGCGCGCTTCGGGCAGGAAAAAAAAACTCAATGTGGTGGGTCCTAGGCACAGTTCCCACGGGGGAACCTGCTCGATACCATGAGGAAATTAGAACGAGAATGAAAACGACTATGGAATGAAAGTGATACAAATATGCAACCCTAGAAATGTGTACCCCATATGGGCTACCCTACTAAAGCCTAGACAACATTATAATTTGACGGAAGCGTCCCGAACAGATCCTTTCCGAATTCGGTAGGAGGCAATTCGGTGGCAACCGAAAAGCCAGAATTCGGTGCACGCAACCTAGCTTGGTGCTATAACTATAATAACATATAGGAAAGCACCTAGCCTAGGAAATCAAGCAATTCATGCATGCATATAATTATCATATGCTAGAAATAGCATAATAAAGTAAAGGCAAGCAAGCATAGCTGGCATAAGCCGTCGTACTCTCAGAGGAAGTACCGCTCATGGCCTTGTCCATGGACGCGGGCTGGGCCCAACACGTCCAGGTGGAGAGTCTTCAGTGGAGCCTCTGTGGGAGGGAACGAGGAGGAGTGAGGAGCGGCGCGCTGCCGTCCCTCGACGCAAGGAATGCAGGGCGGAGCAGGCGAGGGAGGGAGGGAGGGCAGAGATCAAGGAAGACCAGAGACCAGGGAGCGAGAGTGCATGCCACGAAGGCGAGGCAGGGAGGGGTGACCAAGGCGAAGGTGCCAAAGGAGAGTCTGGTGCGACAGGCTGCGACACTCACACCAGGTAGCTTCTTGTGCGGACGCGTATAGCTGAGGAGACAAAGGGGTGGGGCGCGACGCAGTGGTGAGGGTGTACAGACTGGACCCAGGCGCACGGGTGAACGTGGCCAGGTGGCCGCCGGTTTGAGAGCACGTGTAGATCGCCATACGCTGTCCTCCAGGAGTAAAGGTGTCAACCCAGTGATCCTGAAGGACAGCGGTGCTCACCAGGTTCGTAGAGAACGAGGGGAGGTGGAGACCAGACAGCTCACCAGACGGGACCGCCGGACACGGAAGCACAGTAGTGGGCCGTGCTACCACTGGACCCCCAGAGGGGTCAGCGAGTGAGACAGGGACAGGTGCAGGGAGGGGAGTGACTATGGTGCTATCGCGAAAGAAACAGCGGGAAGCATCAGAATCAAGTCTGAAGGTGTGCAAAGCCTAAGCGGACGCAGTACTAGGGAGAGCTGACTCGCTAGCACCTAGGGCTGCAGACTCTATACATAGGTCAGGCGGCACACACAAGTAGCAGTCACCCTCAGCACTAACATTCAATGCGTACATGGCAGCAAGAATTGCATCATAGTCAAGATCAAAGACAGGAACACCACGCCTAGACAGGTCTGCCCAGTGGGGAAACTTGGCGCGCCAGGCGTCGCTAAGCCTAGAGAAGCAGCAATACTCCGTGTGAAAACCGTTGCATGGGCGACCAGTGCGGGGGCCTGTGCGAATGATATAGGGGCAGCGAACAAGACCCCCAGACGCCCCATGCTGAGCATACTAGTCATGAAGCTGCTGAAGGGAGGGGGTCTGCTACTGACGCTGCTGTTGCTGTCCCTGGCCACCACTGGAGCTCCCCTTCTGGCCGGATCAACTCCAGCCCCCACCACCGCTGCCACCACCGCTCCCTCCTCCCCCACTACCGCAGCTGCCACCCCCACCGCTCCCAGTACCATCGCCGCCCCCACCACCACCTCCACCCCCACGACCACCCCCACCACCTCCACCTCCCCCACCGCCTCCACCACCGCCCCCTCCACCGCCACCCCCACCTCCCCTATCACCCTTGCCGCCCCTGGCGCTGCGGCGCTTCCCACTAGGAGCGGAAGCAGCCCCGACCTCCTCAGCACCAAGGTAGTCAAGAGTAGCAGCACCGGAGGCGTAGGAGGGGGCAAGAGGGGAGGGGGAGCACCCCTCAAAGAGGGGAGTGCGAGGAGTGCCATGAGCAGCACCTACAGCGAGAATGTTCTTTTCAGCTGCTAGGAGGTGCGTCTCGAAGTCGTCGACAGTGAGAGTGGTAGGGTCTAGCGCGAGAAAGTGGTCCCTGACGGAGCGAAGAGTGTCACGGAGGCGGGTGACGAGGAAGTAGAGAGTAAAGTACATCGGGGGCTGATTCTGGGCGAGGAACACGTCTGAGAGGGCAGTACAAAAGCGAGCGTCGCTAGTGCGCAGGTGAGAGATAAGGTCATCAGCAGTGGTAAACGAGGACAGGTCGGGGAACAGGTAGGGTAGCATAAGGCGACCTAGGGCTGCAGTGGCCGAGGAAGAGTAGCGGGCAACTACAGCGTCATACAGTGCCTTAGCAGTCTTGTGCTGGCTAAAATGCACGCGCTCTGTGATCGGCAAATGGTTGCGAATAGCGAGGCGCGCAGCAGCATCGCGGGTTTGCCACTGTGATTGGTTGAGAGCAGTTGCAGTGTCAGCAGGAGGAACGGTAGTGCCAGATGCGTGATCGAACAATGAAACACCGTCCTTGGCATCAGTCATAAGAAACAGTTGCAGGTCATCGAGCCAGGCGTCAAACTCTATCGGGCGACCGTCAGGATCTGTTACAATCCCAAGGGGAACTTTGTGAAGGATCGCTCAGGGTTGATCGCAGAGTGGTGTTGCAGCGGAAGTTTGAATCTTAGGTCAGAGTGAATGTAAATGACTGAGTTGATAAAAGCATGCATACATCTAGTTTATATAAGAGTACAGGGGAATACGAAAGGACCTAGGCTAGCCATGTACTCTAAGGGGTACATTCCCTTATTGTAGAGAGAAATTCAAACCGTGTGGCGCGGGAACCCGTTTCAAACCTGTTCCCGCTCTTTTCACTTCAAGTGTTTCTGCTTGCATCGGTCTTGGCCAGACGGTTTCTGTGTCGCTTCAATTATTCTTACTCTTCGACTTCGTACTCGTTAGAGTCGGCTCCTGCAGCATACAGGAATGCCTTCTCACAAAACTTCATATCGTAACACTCCCCTTCATTCCTGGGCGCAGGAGGAGCTGACTCGCTTGACCACTCCGGTGAGGTCAGAGCATTGCTTGTACTGCTGACGTGGCAGAAGCTTGGTGAGGAAGTCTGCTGCCATCTCGGTAGTCGCGCAGTAGGCGAGGTCAACTTTTCCCTGGTCAATTCCGTCCTTGACGAAAAAATACCAAAGCGCGATGTGCTTAGTGCGGTTCACGAAACCTGGCTTGTTCGCAATCCTGATGGCACTCTGGTTGTCGCAGTGAAGGTGAAAGGTGGGCGAGGTTGGAATTTTTGCCTCCTGTAACAGCTCCTGCAGGTACAGGCCTTCGCGAACTGTTGCTGTCGCGGTGATGTATTCTGCTTCAGCCGATGTCAGGGCAACCAGCTCCTGCTTCTGTGAGTTCTAGGAAATTGGTCCTCTTGGTTCCAACGAAGCCGGTTCGGGACCGTCGATTGTCAGGATCAGCGGCATGATCTGCGTCCACGTAGTCGTTGAGGTTGAAGGAGGTCGTTGTCAGCGTGGAGTAGGAGAGCCCAATGTCAGGTGTGGAAACGAAGTACTGCAGGGCGCGCTCCAGGTCCAGCTGGTTCTCAGCTACTGGCTTGCGGGAGTACTGTGCCAGTTGGCTGGCGATGTACGAAAGTTCGGGTCGGTAGGTGACAGAGGCGAATAGTAGGCACCCCAATTTCAGCTGGTACATTTGGAGTCCTGCGGGCGACAGGGGTTTGTTGTCTGGTTTGTAGTTGGTACTGGGGTTGCGGGAAGGAGTTGAGAGTGGTGCGCGCGAAATGTTGAAGCGTTCCCTCAGCTGCTCTGCGTACTTGGAGGCTGACAGGTGAATTGCTTCTGGCGCGTAGGTGATGTTCAGGCCTATAAATTGTTTCACACTGTGGTTGATGGTGATGTCAACGTGCTGCGCCAGGTTCTTCTCAAACTGATTAAGGAGCTTGTTGCAGGTGCCCGTGTACAACAGATCGTCGACGTAAACTGTCAGGAGGATGTAGTCGCCGCTAAATTGAATACGATACATTCTCGGGTCGTGTGGCAGCTGCTTGAAACCGGTTTCGAGAAGGATCTTGTGCAGATGCTGCTGCCAGAGACGAGGCGCTTGCTTGATCCCATAGAGGGATTTCTTCAGTTGAGAGACCCTGGAGTCCCATTCTCCGTAGGTGTGAGGCTGCTCCACAAAAATGGTAGCGTCCACTAACGCGTATAAGAACGCGTTCTTCACATCGATCTGACGCAGTGGTGGGTGCTTAGTGGCGGCAATGGCAAGTAGTATCCGGACGGAGGTGTGACGACTGACGGGAGCAAAAGTCTGGTCGAAGTCGATGCCGTGTCGCAGATCGTACCCGCGTACGACCCAGCGTGCCTTGAATCGTTCGATGGTACCGTCAGCGTTAGTCTTCAAGCGAAAAAACCATTTTCCGCTGAGTACTCTCCTCCCCTTCACTGCTGCATGATCGACGAGGACCCATGTGTCTCGAGACTCCAGTGCCTTTAGTTCTGCGTCCATCGCGGCACGCCACTCCTTGGCGTGAGGGCGGTTAGGGCCTGGCGAGGGTTCTTTGGCTCCACGGCTCGTGCGAGTGTGGTGAGAGACGTGTGTAGGCCGAGAAGTTGTAGGCCAGACACATTGGTGGTGTCTGTGTTGGTAGAGACTTCCACCACGTCGTCATCTCCGCTTTCGTAGCTGGATGCAGCGGTGCTTGGCTCTGCTTGGCGTCGTGACGGCCCTGGCGCAGGGTCATCGTCACTATCATCGTTGTCATTGTCGCGCAGGCAAGGCGGGATGTTGGGGTGTTCGTCGGTGTCATCGCGGTCCAGTGCTGCTGCTGCTGCTGCTTCGTCTTCTGGAGTCGCAAAGCTGCGACCGCTGTTGATGTAGCCGCGTGCCTGGTTGCGGCGCTCATCCTCGATCCATTGCTTTAAGGTGAGCCGCTCGTAGAAGAGAATGTCACGCACGGGAACGATCTCCTTGCTGTCAATGTCAAGAATAAGTCACCCTTTGTGCTCATGACTGAGCCCAAGATAAATTCCCCAGCGCGCGATGAACGAACTTGCCGATTGTGGCCGAGGTCGGCCGGTATTGCACCATGCACCCCCAAACCCTCAGCATGGAGGGATCTCCCCTTGAGCCGGTCCACTTCATGTGAGGGGACAAGTTGTCCCTGTTGGCGGTGGTGGAGAGGAGGTTGTGCAAGCGCACCGCGTGGTTCATGGCGTAGGGCCAAAACTTCTTTGGCAGGCCGGACTGGTTCATGAGGGCGCGGACTTTTGTCATGAGTATGCAGTTGACCCTCTCTGCGACGCCTTGCTGCTGGTGAGCGTAGGGGAGAGAGATCTCATGTTTGATCCCTTTCTCGGTGAGGACACTCTCCAGTTCATTGCTGCGAAATTCCTTGGCCCCGTCACTCTGCCAGATCTTCAGCTTTCTTCCTGAATGCCACTGCGCGTGCGCGAGGAAGATGCGGAACACTTCCGGAGCCTTGGAGCGAGCGTCGACATTGGCGATCCACATGTGGCGCGAGTAAGCATCGATGAAGGTCAGCGTGTATTTTTCGCCGTTGAGTCTGTCGCAGGTGAGCACAATGAATTCGCTGTATACCTTCTCCAGCTTCTTGTAACGGTTGGTGCTAGGCTCCAGAGAGGGGTAGGCGCTGTGGGAGAACGGAGTTGTGGGGCAGACAGTGCAAGTGATCGGGTGAGGGGTGTTGTGTGGTTCTGTTCCGTCAGGGCGTAGCAGTGCTCCTGGTGGGAAAACCTTAGCGTTGAGGCAATTGGCTAGGGTTTGGCGTGAGGGGTGCCCCAGTCGCTGATGCCAGAGGTCTTCGTCGGCGCGAATGTCGGAGGTGCGTTTATAACGTGCGTAGTTTTTCGCTACTTCTTCTTCGGTAAGTTGCGGGATCTGGAGTGGGGGTTCTTCCTCTTCTCCTAGTTTTGCTTCGTTGTCCGGCTCCTCTGCTTCTGCTTTTGCTGTTGTCTCCCCTTCTGCAGGTGCCGTTGTGAGATAGAGGGCGAGAAATTCACGGTCGGGGATGACGGTGAGTGGGATCGTAGTGCCTTCAATGAAGCGAGCGAACGGATCTGGGCGAGAGATTGGACCAAGTGAGTCCAGCGGAGGAGTTGGTGGTGTATTCCCCTCCTCAATCTCGGACCAGTGAAAACTCCAGCGGTGAGGTGAGCGAGGTTGTTCGCGGGTGCGTGGGGGTCGGCCAAGAGGAATGGCAACGCATGGTGATTCTTCTCCGCGCTCAGCTTTCATCTCTCGTTCAGGTTCCTCCAATTCTTCTTGTGTGAGCTCCCCTTCTTCGGGCTCTGTTGTTCCCCATCCTCCCGTGGTGACCGTGCCGCTTGTGCTAGCTCCCCATGTGCCAGTGGCGGATGCCCATGTTGCGCTGCCTTCCGATTCGAAATCCTCGTCTCCCCATGCTCCTCGTCGGGCTGATTCTTCGTCCCATCCTGCCGCGATACGCTCCTCATACAGCTTTTGTTTCTTTTCTGCCCGGTATCGGAACATTATAGCTTATGCTTTTGTGTAGGCTGTAGTGGGGTAGCCCATATGGGGTACAACCCAATTAGGGTTAGTACTTGTACCCAACTGTTTCATAGTTCATTCATTCTCGTTTCAATTCTCACATGGTATCGAGCAGGTTCCCTCGTGGGAACTGTTCCTAGGGCCCACCAATTCGACATTTTTTTCCTGCTCGGAGCGCGCTCAGCCCTAGCCCGAGTCGCGCTCCCCCTTTTCTCGCCCCGTTGCGCCGCCCTAGCGGCCCCGTCGCCTGCCTTGCGGCCCTCGCGCAGCCCTTCCTGGCCCCGACCCACCGCCCTGCGGCCTCGTCGCCTACCCCGCGGCCATCGCGCCGCCCTCTCCCGGCCCCGATCCGCCGCTCTGCGGCCTCGTCGCCTACCCAGCGGCCCTCGCACCGCCCTGCGGCCCTGACGCCGCCCTTACCGGCCCCGGCGCCTACCTGCAGCCCCGACGCCTACCTGTGCGGCACCGGCGCCTACCTGCTGGCCCCGCCACCTACCTGCGGCCCCGCCACCTACCTGCGGCCCCGCCACCTACCCGCGGCCCCGCCACCTACCTGTGCGGCCCCGGCACCTACTTGCTGGCCCCGCCACCTACCTGTGGCCCCGCCACCTACCAGCGGCCCCGCCACCTACCTGCGGCCCCGCCACCTACCCGCGGCCCCGCCACCTACCTGTGCGGCCCCGGCACCTACCTGCTGGCCGCGCCACCTACCTTCGGCCCCGCCACCTACCTGCGGCCCCTCCACCTACCCGCGGCCCCGCCACCTACCTGTGCGGCCCCGGCACCTACCTGCGGCCCCGCCACCCACCAACGGCCCCGCCACCTACTTTTGCGGCCCCGCCGCCTCCTCTCAGCAGACCCGCCGCGTCCTCCCAGCGGCCCCGGACGCCGCCCCCTCAGCAGCCCCGCCAGACTGCCCAGCAGCCGAGCCGCCGAGCAGCCGAGCCGCCCAACAGCCGAGCCGCCCACCCGCCGAGCCGCCCAGCAGCCGA